AATAACCCTAATATAATGTGCATTTCATAATTATGAATGTTTAAATAAAAAAATTAATCTTCAATTCTCAAAATGAATCTTTAAATAGTTTGGCCATGAATCGATCAGCCTAATTGGCATTGACTTCCTCATGCAGGAGTATAGAAAATATTGGCATCTGTCATTCGAGACCTTGAGGCCAAGAGTGATAGATATATAATGGCTGTGCCTGGTTGCTAAAATAGCAATACAGTATGGAATAACATTACTTCAGCAGACTACATGCCCTTTGAGATTATGTTATTGTACTTTTATGAGGGTATTTTGACCTCATAATTCACATGATTCATATATTGCTATACTAAATGGGAAGTAGGGATTTAGAATCTAAGCCATCTTGCCATCTTGGCCTGATATGTCGATCTTTATCCTTTTAGTAAAAGACAGAGCATGGCAAATGTGACAACCTAGTATGCGAAAGTACCATGTTGGTATACAGTATATTTTCACAATGAATTGGACCATCCTGCTCTTTAGAAATATACTCTATCTGAGGTATTGTCTAAATTCTTCAAATAATTGATTGGATTGGTCAAAGGCGATTTTGTTTCCTCAAGAAGATTCTTTTCTTTTATGATTTTCCATAAATTAGTAGTCAAGCAGTTAACAAAATGGATCATGTGTTCATTTAGTCAAAAACTTATGAGATAACCTAAAAGTCTGTTTACAGTACAAAAAGGCAGATAACATTTTTTAAAATAGACTTTTATCTTTTTAAAGATGGCAGGCAGGGCATTTTACATGGTGTCTAATTATCAACAATTGGAGAAAAACGAAGCTAATTTTGTTATGGTTTGCCCCCCTCCCTAACAAAATTTTAAAATGTTGATTTGTCTTTCGCTTGAATATTATTTATATCATTTACCCCACTAACGAAACAAACTTTGTTCTTCAGAAACTTCTGATAAATGGACACAATCTCTTATTTGAAACTATTGAATTTTCAAATGTTAAAACAGGCACCTTTACCATTCATATGTCATCTACAGGGTGGGGCAAAAAAAAACAATACCCAACTTCAAATCAGAATAAAAATAGCTAGGTTCAATATGATACATTGATTTATATATCATTTTAAAGGTAATCTATTTTCAAACAATTTGGTATATAACACCATGTTATGAAATCAATATTAAAGTTTTATTAATCTTACTTGTGAGGCCTGGTTGCTATTTCAGGTCGCCAGATTTTAGGGAGAAAATAGTAAATCTGCAGAATTATGTTATTTTTTTTATTTATGGAATATCATTTTGTTAGGTGAATGCATGCTTGTATATTTACATAGTTGTCTGACTAAAATTATTGTTTATGAATTTCAGTGTTGTTTATTATCAATAATCACTCAAAAGGGGTCTGTTAAAAGACATTTAACACATGTGGTGAGGATTTAATTTTTCAACAAGACAAGCCTCATTCCATGGAGACATTGGCATTGCTTTGCGAACAAGGTGTCTTTTGAATGATCTCGATGCTTGGTCACCCAACAGCCCCGATGCTTATGTGGTTGTTTACCATACATGGAGCCATCTCGAGGAAATGGTACAATCACAAGCATCCAATAAACAGTATTGATGAGCTGAAACACAGAATCCAAAAGTGCTGAAATGAATTGCAACAGAAATCTATCAATAAGGCTCTTGAAAGATTACGCTACCACTTGAAGCTTATTGTTGACACAGGGGTGGGGGGTATATTGAGCAATTGTTAAAATAAATAAAGAGTAAAATGTTATTAAACAACACTAAAATTCATAAACAATAAATTTAGTCACACAATGATGCAAATATCAATATCCAAGCATGTATTCAACTTACAAAACAATGATATTCTATAAATAAAAATTAACATAATTCCGCAGATTTACTATTTTCTCCCTAAAATCTGGAGACCTTAAATAGCAACCCGACCTTCCAAATAAGTTTAATAAAACTTTACTATTGATTTCATGACATAGTGTTATATATCAAATTGTTTGAAAATGTATAACCTTTAAAATGATATGTAAGTCAATGTACCATATGGAATGAAACTATTTTTATCCTGATTTGAAGTTGGGTATTGGTTTTTTTGGCCCACCCTGTATATACGGTATGTCTCTCCATGTCAGAGGAAATCATGGACTAATAAAAAGTTGTATTCCCCATATATATCAACATACACATAAACAGATTAAAGTCTGAAGATTGGATTAAAACATACATACATATTTTTTATAATATATTTTGTATCACTAATAACATATTGCATATAATTCTAATGCTTTTATACCTGGAATTCCAAGGTACTGATAAATAAAATAAAATTAAATATATTATTTAAAATGCAATTGAAATGGCAAAACTATTGACAAAATAATAAAAATGCTACAATCCACAAAGGTAAACTGTACAATAATGACTTAATAATATTGACTCTAGTACCAGCCAGCAAGCAGTTTTCATTCTCAAAATGCATCAATTTCTCTCCAGTGTTCTCATTCGTCTCTGCGGATGGCAAATTCAATTGCACTATTTTCTTTATTTTGATCATAGATGTTTGATCATGGTGGGAGTTCCTCTGATATCACATGGTTTTGAATATGTTTTAGCTCAGTCTGACCCAGAAGAGGTGTTTTTCCAGTTTTCCCAGTTGGCACTCCGTACTAAAAAACTTGAATCATATGACATTAACCTTAGCTTCACTGTCCAGTGCTGATGATTTTAAATATTACTTGGTATATACACTGCTCTTGGCTAATGCCTGGGTCACATTTGCTGCGATTCATCGGCCGGCGCCCGGCCGATTGAGTATTTTGTTCAAAAGTGAATATATTTCTGAACACAAAAAAATACTCAATCGGCCGGGCGCCGTTGTGAAAATCGGAGTAAATGTGACCAAGTCATAACTTGTGCCAATGCTTGTTCATATCTGTTCATATATGCATGATCATATCTGGAAAATTAATTGGCTTAAAAGTATCGGTTAATTTGCATAAATCTCACTTATAATTGAAATTAATAGTAGGTGGAAAAGAATATATTGTGGTAGTAAATCACTTCTTCTGGTCTGACTGAGATTATGATCAACTTATTGAACCTTTTTTCCACAAAATCCAACATTTTGATTTACCATCAACAGAGGTGAGGCTGGAAGACCAACCTATGACATTGGAGAATGAGCAGTTGTCTTCTGCGTATTAATTCATCTTATGTGAAAAGAGTGAATGATCATAGGCTCTGCTGGAGCAGAAAATATACTGGGATGATCATTTCATTATATTTTCTGAGACAACACATGCAACCTTTAATTCCAGCTGAAATGTAACTTAGCCCTTTTCAGTTATTAATGGTTTAACGTAAGTTGAAATTGCTTCACATTACATAAAAACTACATTTTAGCTCTTTGCATTCATGGAATGAAAAAAATTCCATGAGAAAATACACAAGCATATCAGCCTTATTTTATTGTTCATTAGCCTAATGACTTTGTTCATCAGTCTATGGACTTTGTTCATCAGCCTCATGACGTTTTTCTGATTAACAGAAATGTTAATGAAAAATATTTATAAGGGTCAGGTCAAATAGCAATCAATGTGAAAGTATTTTGTTTCGAGGAGAGGTAAAAAGCCCATTTTCAGTAGACTAAAAACAATGATCATAAATGGATGATTATAAATTTTTAAAATTATTTGTGTGATAATTGGTATTTTGGCCTGGCCCATAACCTACTGGTAATAGTACAGTGTTTATAGAAATGAGATATTAATGTGCTATGTTTTCAATACTGCTAATATGCAAATTAAGCTAAATATGTATTTTTCATTTTTTTATTTTTTTTTCGAACTGGGACTAACATCTTGTCTCATTTAATCCCAGGTGAGACCAAATTAAACCTTCTGAGCATCTAACAATAAAAATATTAATATTATATAATAGCAGAAAAAGTACAAAAAACTATCATGCTGTACATTATTCATTTGAAAATACACTATTATCTAATCCATGGTAGGCAAGAAATACACTGTTACATCATGGACCATTTAGAGACCCAAAACGTCCATGTTTCTATATTATCTCAATTTATGAAGTTAAATACTATGCCTATATGGAAACATAGCAATGTAACGATTTACAATTTTAGAAAATAATTACATTCAAGGCTGACCAACCCCTTCTCCATTTAAAACATGAGTCAGAGATCCTAAATTAAAAAATCTTTTTGTTTTATTTCATCTGATATTTTTTGTTGATGTCTGAAATTAATTTCCTTGATTTTGTTTAAATCAATTTATTCCAAAAAAGTTGCCCGAAACCCCTCCCCAAACATACTTGTTTATCAAATGGCAATATATCAATACATTTCCTAAGTCAAAAGTAATAGTTCAATATATGAGAATGAGAACATTTGTTCCTCTTTGTCTGAATAGATATTAATAAATATGCAACTATGGATCTTATATCCAATATTTTAGAAATACCTTGTGCACACTTAGCATTGCATTTGTTCATTCTACCCTTTACATTTTTGTTGAGATTTTCATATACAGCTTGATTAAAATTCAAGCTTTGTCTTGTATTTAATTCAATTATTTTGCAATGTATGCCAACAACTTAGATTGCCACTCATTTTTAAAATGCAATCCATTATACGAGGGGTGGTCATAAATTATGAGAACTTTATGATCACCCCTCGAATGATGCAGGAATCCTATCTGAGATCCAATGCATGAATCAACACCAGATAAATTCTAACACTCATACAGTATTTGCTAATTATTTCTTCATCTATTTATAGATGGCATATGTGGAAACCTGTAGGAAAACAGTGGGAAGCGAGCATTCAATCCCAATCATCTGATGGCTAATATAGTATTGTTTAATCCATGTGTACAGTCACAGCCAGTTGGGCAGTTGCAACAAGGAATCTGAATTTTCTCCACTGAGGCCAAATTATGTTTAATTCCATGTTGCTAGACGTCTGGTTGACATAGCAGCAGATCCAAATATCTCCAGGCATAGATCAGACCACAATACAATGGGGATGATTCCCTGTTGCTAGTGTCTCTGCAAATGCTTGGAGATGACAGAGCAGTAGGCCCAGATATCTCCAAGCATAAATCAGACCCACATACCATGGGGATGGTTCCCCGTTGCTAGAGTCTCTGCTAATGCTTGGGGATTTACATTCAATTTTCTGGCACTTCCTGGACGGCTTGTACTTGGACTGGACGAGCCAGTTTCTGAAAGCAAATAACATGTCTTGAAAATATATAATAAATAGAGAGTATAAAACTCGGCATACATACGACATACGGCATCTTCGCTTTAACTTTATGATCTCGTCAGTTTAAGATCACATAGTTACACCTCTTTATGAATTAATGAAAGCTCCATAAAAATGTCAGGGTGATCACATTTTAAAACAAGGCATAACATGAAAAATTTGGTGTCACCTGGTGTTTGTTACAGACATCGAACATTGAACACCAACTGCTGAATGCTGAACACCGTCCACAAAACGTTGGAGACTCTAACAATATGTCATCATTTGTAGAGATGACATAATGAGAAACTGAGTTGTGTAAGAGTGAACAAACAAGGAATTGAGTAAACAGGCACCGTAAACATATATGTTACTGTTCGCATACAGTCAGAAAGAATATGCTTCTCCACATTTCAGAGAATTCTGTAGAATACACTATGAGGACAATTTTTTCATTTCTAGGGCTTTTAGTTTTATATTCTTACCATCAAAGCTCCTCTGACTTGTATGCCCTCCCAGATCTTTCAAAGGTTTCATCACTGTAGAAAATAACTGCATATTGGCATCTTTAATGTCATTATCAATTTGTTCAATCTCTTTTTCCTTATTGGCTATTGCACTTTTCAGTTGTTCAATTTCACTTTCGGATTCATTAATCTTGTCTTTATCTTTTTCTGTTTGTTCTAACCCTGTTTTGATTTCCTTTTTCAGTTCATCAATTGTAGTATCCATATTCTGTTCAACTTTTAATCTCTCATCATTAAGTTTTTGCATCTCGAGTTTAATTTCATTTTCTAATACTGTTATTTTTTCCTGGTTTGTTTCAAGGTCAGTTTGACTGTTGGCAAGTTTAGACTGTAACATAGTTAGATCAGATTGTAAAGATCGTTCTGTCTGCTCTTCGACCCTTAACGTATCGGGTAAATGAGCTGAATCTAACTCTGTTATCTCAATTTCATAGTCTCTCTCGCGTTTTTCTAGTTTCTGCAACTCCAAGCTGAGGCTTGTCTCCTGTTTGTTCATATCTTTTTCTTTGGCTTCCCAGTATGTGATATCTGGAAAGAAAGTAGCCTATTGTTATAATATAACAGTTTATAGTGAAAAACATATTTTTCTCAATATCTCAAGCATCAGATGTCCTTCTCCTCCTCCCTCTTCCAACACACAACATACATACATGTTAAAGAGGATAAATAAAGAAGTGGGGCTGACTTCCTCTTAGATAATTGTGCTGATTACCATTCTAATAGGCATCTACTCTATTCCAATTATCTCAACAAGCATTTTGCTAATGACTAACTTGTAAAAACATTACAAAGCTAAAGATATAACGTTTTCAGTTGTCAAACATTTCTTTGATACTTTTCGTAGAATTAATTTTTATTTTATCACACATTTTTTATAAATTATTGATAAATATCAAATAATAATCATTCAAAAATAATCAACAGACATCATTGATGGAAAAAACATACCCGATAGGACAATAGACATTTGAGACTCTTGCTTCTGAAGACGATCCTGTTGCTCGGCAACCAGCTTCCGCAACTCCTCCATCTCTGTTTCATCATGTAATGTCACCTTATCCTGAAACCGAATTGTATAATCCATATTAAGCATAATACTTATCCTAGAAATGAAATATATAATCCATATTTAAGCACCATCTTCATCCTAAGACTGATTTATCATGTTCGAATTCAAGCAGCATTCTTATCCTGTCTTTTCATGATTTTTTATTGCCTTTGATTATTTTATTGATGTATTGATGAATACTAAGATGTATTTTTCAGATTCATCAATCTGTCTTAGTGTGGTTTGAAAATCAGTTGTAAAGTCTCTGAATGACATTATTTTGGAACATTAGTTACAGAATCAAGTATTGTATACAAATGTGAAACTGTTACAATGTGGATGATAATTTCCACTCATCCTCCATTGGTAATCCCATAGATGGAATGAAGTTAAAAATGAGATTGAAATAAATAGGTCCTCTTGTAGCTTATTACATGCTCGCTGTAATTTGGATCAGTCCTAATTTAATCTTATTTACGCAACTAGTTTATTTTACTAAATAATAATCGCTAGTTTTTTTTTATGTTCAGCGAGTCCAATCATCTCAAAATGAATAATTCCTATTAAATACATCCCATGTCATTGTATTTATGAACTTAGAAGTCAGTGAGACAAGATTGTCTCTTAGAGTTATGTCTATTGTACAAACACAGAATTTTTATGTTGCATAAGTGAATCAGTTCTGCTCTACCCTTTCAGATCAAATCATGTATAATCCAAAGCTCATCTTGAATTAAACATTGTATAGAGAATACTGATACATACCCAAAATATACATTAACTATAAAAAGGTGAGAATTTCAAATCTTTGAATTCTGAATTGGAAAATTGAATTATTAATCAATTCATCTGTGCAAAATGCTGTACATACGAAAATCGGGGAATATAAATATTGATACTTTCCTCGTCTAAATTTGATTGAGAGGAGCTGTTATTTGACGTCTGAGTTACAATGAGAATTAAAGGTCCATAATGTCACCTTATCTGCCAGTAACAGGGGTCCCTATATGACATGAATTGAAGCATATAGCATTATTAAAAGGTCCCCTTAGGCACCTCTCCCCACATTTTATTACTTCTAAAATATACAGCTGCACATAAACTCATATAAAATGAAACTATTACCATTTGCTATTGCTATTGATTTTCTTTAATTTTGATTATTTCTTATGATTGTGCGCCTAATTTAAAAACACTTAACAATAGCATAACATACTCTAGAAAAATTAAAAAATAGATATGAAAAAGCCAATCACAAGAGCAATTAAAATGAGAGTGCCAATTCGTTTGAAATATGACATACTGTACTTCATCTAGGACTTGCAATTCATAAGCATTCTTAATTTCTTCGTACGATAAAATGTTTAATAGAAACGAGAAAATCATACATACCATTTTACTTGCTTGATTATTATGTCTGCTAATTATTATTTTTCATAACAGCCCAATCAACTTCAATAGTTTTATGGAAATCGAAGATCAAGCTCAAGTGATTTAATATGACATTATCCCATTTGCTGTCATAATTGAATCCGGTGTTTTGTCAAACTGGCATTAATATCAATTCAATCCAATTTTCTGATCTGAATCTAGATGTTCCTAAACGTTGATGTAATATTTAGACAAGATATGCTTTCAGGATGTCCCTCTCTGGATCTTTGTCATTATTCAATCTCAATATTTTTTTGGATAGATGATCTGCAATGTAATCTTTCTAAAATCTAAATCGAATAAGTTCTGAACATTTTTAGCTTATAAGCAGAAAATCAAAGTTCAAATCATCATCATCATCATCATCACTATCATCATTATTTGCAGATTTTTGAACATGAGACAGTATTTTGTAACGAGAGCATTAGTAATAGCAAAAGTATCATCTCTGAGTCATTCTGTCACCTATCATCCCTGCCAGCTACCATCTGGCGTAAAAGATACGTAATTCTGGTGTCATTTTCAAAGGTGTTCACAAATTTTTCAACTTAAGTTTCTACATGATGACACATAAGAAAAAACAACATTGGAGATTTTTTCAATGTTTTTCTATGATTTTTCAATACAGCATTGAATTGACGGAGAAAAGTTCAAGTGAAGGAGCTATTCTTGAATTTACAAGATTATTTTCAGATTATTTTGACAGGAAACATTTTATATACTGTTAGGTATTCAAGCTTGTACATATAAACATAGATACACAAACTTGCATGGGATGTTGTCAAAATCTCAATGTAAGTGGAAAAAAACAAAATGTAAACAAATCAAGAAAAAAATGTTATTCCAAATCGAGAAAAAAAATGTAATTCCATTATGGTCAAACTGCCTACCCATTGCTCCCCATAACAAAAATTTGAAAATGTTGCCAAACATTTTAAACAAATAATCTTCATTTACTTGCTGACAAAATTATCTTTCTTCTTCTACAACTCTCAACATTTGGACAACATCCCTTATCAATGACACAAACATTCCCTAAATAGTCAATGATAGCATTTTTTCATCTTGTACTGTTTTTAAGAAACCTATTTTCATACCGAACTAAGTGAAATCGTGGACTCTAAAATATTCTCTACAATCAATAATTCCCAAATTATATCACTTGTGATTTTTAGGACTCAATTTTGCTATATTTTGATATATCCCCTGACCAAGGATCAAGATAGTTGATAATATGTAATAACATTTATTTTTCTTGGAGCAATTTATAAGTTATATTGACCCTCTTTAACAAGAGTGCTGCATAACTCTTGAAGTTCTGTATTAATCACTATGCGTTATTAGAGCTATAATTAAAATAAATAATGAATGTTTTCTCTTATAATTTCATCTGACATGAAAACCAGTCGTGTGTGTGGCTCTAGGAAGTAAGTGGAGATGTAGAGTTTCCCATTTTTTTTCTAATTTATCTATTTTAAGTAGGAAATAAGTAGGAATTTTCAAAATCTAAGGTCATTTTCAATTTTTCAATGGTTGCTTTATATCAATCATTGCTTCAATGCTAGGTAGATCAATGTAAAGTTAAGCTACCTGAACTTTGACGCAGTCTAGGGCATACAAACAAGAAATGAAGTTCATGTAAATGAGTACAATGAGCCATTCTCAGTGGTCTGTTTTAAACTGAGCACAACATTGCAAGTCATTTTTCTCATTTTTAAAAAACTTGCTAAATAACATGAAAACTCAATAATGTGCGATGACTCTTGTAAATTATTCTTTATTTACACTACATTTTTATTTTTTTGAAAGTCGAAGATTAAAATCATTCATTATCATTTCTGATTCTCACCTCTTTTTCATTGTATCCACTATCAGTTGTATCTTGAGTGACATCTGGTAAGTTTTTGTCCAAGTCATACTCCTCCATGCCTCCCTCCCTGGAGCTACTTGTATGTATAGAAGACCCACTAGGACTCTGACTATGATATATAGGGAGATTTGGAGCTGTGTTGTTCTGATGTAAGAGCTCTCCCCCCTGGTGTTGATTATGACTATAGCGAGGGGTAATCTGAGGACTATTTCCTTGAACCTCGGGGGTGTACACCTCGGGTGTGTGAAGTTTAGTAGGTGGCTGTGTATAAACCTTTGGGCTGAGTCTAGACAGGGACCCTGATCCAGTAGAGTGATAGCTAAATGTAGAGTTTGAGCTTGGACTATAAGGGGACCCAATAGATCCAGTAGGACTTTGTAGAGAGCCACGGGGACTTTCTGTTGAACTATTAGGACTTTGTAGTGAACCATGGGGACTAGATCTCCCATGAGGACTACTTACACTAGGACTAGATCTACTGGCATGTACATGAGGCTGCCGCGAGAACACGCTCTTTGTAGTGGTATCCAACGAAACCTGTGGACTTTTTGACAAAATAGCTTTAGTGTAGCTTGGTGGTTGTTTCCTGTCCAAGCTATTAATTTGTGAAGGTCCATACTGTTTCCGGTCCATGTTATTCATAGATGAGGGTCCATGCTGTTTCCGGTCCAAACTATTTATAGTTGAAGGTCCATATTTTTTCCGGTCGAGACTATTCATTGGTGAGGGTCCAGGTGATTTCCTTGAGAGAGGTGGCTTCCCATGAGGCTGTTTCTCTAAAGTATTATATGGTGATATGATTGATTTAGAATTATTATTGTTAAGAGGTTCATTTTCCAGTTGAGTCCTCTCTTGAGTACCTGTTGGTTGAGTACTGGTCTTTTGAGTATTTATTCCAGGCTTCATGAGTCCAGGACGTGATGTTGATCTATCTGGTAAACTGTTATATTGAGGCCCTAATCTAAAGTGTTGCTTTCGTTGCTGATCTATTGCGCTATAGGCTGGTGGCTGCAATGTGTTATACGGAGGTGGCTCAGTTGGTATTGGCAAGTTCGAATTTTCAGCAATAGGGGGCCCTGGTTGTCCTTTTGCATATTTCTGAGGTGCAAAATAATTATGGGCTCCACTAAATGTCAGCGATTTTTTGAGGCCTGATTGTTGAACATCAGCAGCTGAAGGTCTCCCTCCCGGGGAGAAATTATGAGAGAACTGTTTATTTTGTGAATTATCTGAGCTACTGCTTCCAGGTGAATCTTCCGCTGGTTTATTATGAGATTTAGCTGTCTTATCAGAATGGCGTAAAACAAATTGCACATCAGTGGCATATTCACCCCACTTGTGTAGGACTTTAAGGGGGTTATCAGTCGGAGCAAGTAATCTCTCATTATCCCGCCACTTTTCAGCTAGGGTAAAGCGTCCTGTTTTCCCCGTAGCATGAGCCAGTGCAATGACTACATCCTGGCATGTGGTTACCTCGGTAACACCACATATTACACGCTGGATTCCTTCAACCCAGACTTTTAACTCCATCACCGCTTTGTAGTTGTTGTCGTTGTCATAACAATCTGGAAATACAAAACAAATACGTTTTAAAAAAATGCTCAGACATAAAAAATCAGCTGTGATGTTTCTAAATCCATTGTTTTTATTTCATTTTATTCAAATTGATCTTCATTCAAATTCAAATTTGTTGATGAATCTAACATAATTTCATATCACTGACTGTATATAGCTATACATGATCACCAATGTATTTAGTTTAAAAAGATATGTTTCTTACTGTCCTTTACCATGTTTAACTTACAAGATAATAAACTAAAGCAGGTTAATGAACTGAATATTTATGATGCATAGCCTTGTCTCAAGATAAGGGACACAAAAAATAAATTTGCTTAAATTTTCAGCAAGGCAATTTTTATGAGTACATCTTCAACCCTTGGGAGCCATTTTTTCCCAAGAAAATGATTAAGTAAGGATGTGAGTAGATTGTAAAATATCTAATCTGATTTCACACAATGTGATAACCATTATGTTTTTTCCAAAATGGCGGAGCAGATTTAGATAAGCAGTTTTGATAAAGAGGATGTAATGGGAAGGTTAGACTTTATTTTCACAGTTTCAGTTAAAAATATAGTCTGAATAGTGTTTCTGTAATATTTTAGTACGGCAGTTGCCTGAAGCTTGTAACACCCATGAAAAAGTATGTTTTCAAAATTTTTCATTGTTGTTTGCTAAGTTGAAAATAATAATTCACAATTATTACTTGCACCAAAGTTTTAGTGAATGATACAGAAACGTTACCCTTTGCATTGCATTCATTTGACTTTGCTTCTTAAAAGAGAGCTTCCTGTTCAGGGAACAGAAATTGAAGTCATCATAATTATTTCTCACTTTAAACGAGATCGTGATAAGTGGATGAGACCTAATAGCGCATGTATCAGCTTTCGCATATTGTTCTTCTAATATAATCTTCTGTATAGGGGACACCCATGTACTATTAGAGGAAAGTAGATGAGCCTGTAGTTTATAGCCACCAGACACAAATTATGTCTTGTATTTGTGTTACCTTCAGCCAAACAGTTGACGATAATATAATATCACCTGATCATATCTTATCCAATCAGAGGTATGCTATCTCAAAAAGACCAAATAAAAGATGGGAAGATGAAGTATGTTCAGTCTTAACAGCAGAATTCAGTTATTTCAGTTAAGTAGAAACACTTGAAAATCTATCAAAATAATTTCTCGATCTCAGAATGTACTCATGATAATTGTACTGATAGCTTTTGTGCGAAACTGATACAAAATTATTGCAGTTGAAGATACACTGGATAAATTCAACACAATTTTGGAACTGGCTGTTGACTCGACAATATTGGTTTTGATCATTAAACTCAGCTACAATAAAACAGTTAATTGTGTTAGTTCTTTTATTTTATGGCCAATAGCCCAATAATCATATCAATTTTGACTTTTTGTTTCAAATTGTTCAAAAAGTAGACTATTCTGAACTGTTCTGAAAAATTCAGTTTGCATGTTCATGATAAAAATAATGTTCTGAGGTCAAATGCTCCTGACCAAAAAGTTTCAAAAAATTCTATCCCTTGATACATGATGTATTTAATTTAAATGATTTCATTTGAAGGTACCATTTCAATTAATATACAAAATTAGATGATAGAAAAATAATACCATTAAATTTCTTGCCACCTATATCTTTAAAATCTAAGATGTAAACGTCTTCAAATTTAACATAATCTGGAATAGGCATGTTCCCATTTCAGATAAAACAGACTTCCAGAGGTGCTCAGTTAGTCACATAGTATATTCCAATACAGGTCATAATACACTTCAATAGACATAATTCTATTATATACTCCATCTCAGTATTTTACCTTACCTATCTAATCAATATATCCAGAGATAACTTAAATCCTTTAGTTTCTTATATGCCTCCAACTTTTGATAGTCTAATTCATATAGACATATTTTTATTACTGCTCAGTGGGCAGGCTCTCTGGTATCATATCAAAACACCAAAGAAATATCAACACGTGTAGTGAGCAGATATTCCTCATGCTGCGTTGTTTTTACATAGAATCACTAACTCAAGAATACCCTAAAACCCCTTTAGCAAGTGAAACCACTCTCTGATTTTTATAACAATATTACATATGATTTTAGCAGTTTTGATGCTGATTGGATTTGAAAGGGCTCAAAAGAATCTTTCATGTCCTCTTATGGCAGTTTGAATGTGAAATGAATATTAGCTTTTCATAGGGAAAAAATAATTTTTGGATTCTCTGACTACATGTTCTGATAGGATAAATGCTAAATCAAAGAATAATCTTTTATTTAAGAGTTTAGTTCAACTCATATGAAGGGTAAACTATAGTTATTCAATCTTGTTGTAAAACAACCCAGAATTAGAAGGTGAAAATGTCAAAAGTATCATGAAAACCCCCCAAAGGTGAAACAACATCCTCAGCATTTTATGTTGTTATGACTACAAGATTGTAACAACATATTCTTCTTGATAGAATTCTATCAATTTGACAATATTTTTGCTTGGGTAATATAGTAAAACAACATCATTCTGAAAAGCTAAGTAAACAAATAAATATATGAATATGAATAAACCAAGCTGTTGCCATGGTAATTCATGATGTGAAAACCTCACATATAAAATATTTTGCTAGTCTCAGTAGCATTCACCTTGGATTATTTTTACTGTACTGTACTTGACACTTGAATTGGCTTCAGATGAAGTGTTCCTGACACTTATGAAAATGAGCTTCATGCTGATCTTACAGAGATAGTGTAACATCACAACAATGTTACCATGGAGATAAGTTGCTCATCTCTCTGGCTCTCTCATTAATCACACTCCTGGCATTAATGTACCCTGAAGTCCCACTGGCTAGCTACACTACACCCTACCTTCTGAGTATAACATATGATTTTACAGTTTTGATGCTGATAAAAACTCAATGGTCTCAAATGGAATCTTTCATGGGATATTAATGGTCTAAAATGGTTGTTAGTTAGGTATATGCAGAAAATGTATTATAATGTGATTTTCTGACAAAATGTTCTCATAACATAGGATATATTAAAGAATGATATCTGATTCAAAGAGTATAAATGAAGATCTTGTGAAGGGTAGCATTCCTGAGATAGATGAGCATGGCTTCAAGGTTAAACTCAGGTGGAGAGTCACATTTGATATCATGATGAATGAAGAATTTATTATTAACGTTTCAAATCAATCATCAATGCTATTTTGTACCTTCCATAATCTAAGTAAAGGTACTGACTTACTCAAATAGATCCAGAAGTGTTTTAATAAGCAACACTAAGATGCAAAAAGAATCAATTTATACAATTTAAAATAAACTAGAAAACAGCATCCCATGGATTGGCAAATCCCACCGAACAAAACCACAAATCACTCATCATTTTGATGTTAAATGAGGTGTCTACAAAAATCATGACAAATGTTCATAACAATAAGTAAAAGAGCCGTGATCAGACCAGTGATATTATGTCATTTTGAGGTCTGATATTCATTAAAAGTGCCTCATTAAAACCAAATGAAACCCTGAACTTGTGAAGATTTGAGATTTGTTTTTGACAAAACACTCAAAAAACCTTTTTCAGACAATAGAAATCATGATCAAAACCTCTTACTTAAACTGCTATTAGATAGACAAGAATGGTTTGGAAGGTCATTTTTTCTATAAATATGTTTTGACTGAGAAATATAAAGATAGAATTGATCTATTTCTATGAAAATCTGATTTTAAATTGCATTAGAGAGTGACCAGATCAGCTTGACCTTGGAGTTTTAACACAAGCCATCAATTTCACTTCCAAAAATAGAACTGTCAATCAAAATATTGAACTGGATGGAAAAGTTAAAAGTTATTTTTAGTTTGATTGATGTGGATGATCTTTATCTTGAATTGTTCTCAGAAACAGAATTTAAGTTGTGAAACACTGCCCAAAATTAATTTGTAATTATTCAGAAAATGATTTTTGATAAATATAATATACAGGTCAAAGTGACTTACTTGTAGCAGACATTGAAAAATGCACAATGAAACAAATTAATGGTCAACTATAAATTATAGATAGGCAAGAAACAAAAATATTAGAATAATAACATTATAAAAACATTGTATAGCTGGTATCTAAGTTATTGAAATTACACGGTGTATAAGCCAAACGCTCCTACATGCACGACGGAGCGTTTCATTACTGAAATTAAACAAAGAAACGCTCCGGAGTAGGAAAACTGGCTGGCGGGAATGATGAGCCGTCTGACGATTTCCCCAATAATGGGAATAAGAGGTATGAGTTCCATATTTCGAGTATACCATTCGATGGGTGTGATATTCATGTTGTACTTGGCTGACTGTTGACGTTTGAAGCAATTAGGAAGAGCTGTACGAAGCAGTATTGTTATCAAAATTCAAAAACGTATTTGTCATTCTACCGGTCAAAACCCCTTTTGTCGATACATGTGATTAGTTGAGCCAAGATTAGAGAACCAACGTATATTTTAGTCAAATTCCAATGCTTCAACGCACCATACATCATCGTAATAGTGATTTGATGACCGAAAATCCAGTCTGAGAAATGATGACATTCTCATATTCAAGAAACGCTCCGATCTGGTTAACACAGTGAACTGGAAACGCTCCGGTAGTCTAGATCAGTTTAGGAAATATATAGCTTGCCTTTCCTTTTCAGGAAGAGAAAGAAAAGATCTATTATACCCCTTGGCATCAAAAGAAGAAAGATTAATTCACATATAAATTTTAGTTTTTTTCTATAGTTTTATGATTTAGCACACATGTAGGCATGACATCATCTAATGTAGGCTTAAATCAGCTAGTTGCACGTTTAGCACCACCAGGTTCAGATGTTTCAATTTGCCTAACAAGTACAACACGTTTTTGAGAGATAGATTCAATTCGGAACTCTTCTCTAATAATCTGAAAATGATATCAAAACAAAATGGTAAGAGCGTTTCTAAAATTGTGTTCTAAATCGATGGAGC